TAGCTGGGCACCATCTAGTTCTTCGCCCAGGCCTCCTTTTAATCAACGTTGTAAATTACTTGCAGTCCTAGAACAAACAACACTTTTGTTCTCACCTTTGGGTCTACACACAGGTGTTCCTCTACCTGGAACACCTTTATCCCCAGCCCTTCCCTTCACTCTCCTTCCTCCTCTTTTAGGTCTCATCTCATTGGACTTTTCCAGGCTGGATGCAGCTCTTCTCCCTCTGTGTCCCTGTGCTGTCATTCCTCCTTCCTGCCTCCCACCACACTGCAAGTTCCACGGGAGCAGAAGGTGTTGTTCACCGATACAGCCACATAGAAGGTTCTCGATGTTTATCAGATGACGGGCTGCATGAGTGGATATTTAAATGTATGCAAACCCTCATGAATGAAGAAAGGAATGGAGACATTCATTATGCTAGAACCTTCTCTCTGCATTTATTCAAAGCTGCATGCAATACTCGGATAGAGGCATGCCTTGGAGATATTGTGGGTTTGTTTCCAGACCACCACAATAAAGCAAATATCACAATAAAGTGGGTCTCAATAATTTGTTTGTTTCCCAGTGCATATAAAAGTTATGTTCACACTATACTGTAGTCTCTTAAGCATGCAACAGCAGGATAGAAAAATTTGAAATATTTTGAGGATGACTAAAATGTGACACAGAGTTACAAAGTTAACACACGCTGTTGGGAAAAAGAGGGCGATTGACTTGTTCCACACAATTGCCTCACACATTTAATTTGTAAAAAACACAAAGATGCAAAGTGCAATAAAGTGAAGCACAATAAAATGAGGTGGGCTGGTGCTGGGATTCAGATGGGCCATACATAGCAGAAACCGATAGAAAATTCCCTCCGCTCTGCTGTCATAGTCCACTCCTGCCTGGGCAGTCCAGGAACTGCGAGCTAAGACATACATTGAAAAGTGTGTTCTACACTTTCCTTCCTGAAATGCTTTCAGAGACCAGAGAGCCAAGTCATCCTGATGGCTCAGCAATGTTTGGAGCTGAGGGAGGGTGTGAACTTGACTCTTAGATTTCCCTGAAGCTCTTGGGGTCCCCCAGTTTATCCTGGAACTGTTCCCATGGCTGAACCAAGAAATGATTGACAGAACAGTGACATCCTTTGCATTTCACAATGTGCGTGTCATATAAGCAGTCAGAGCTGATGAACAATTTCCTGTGACCATGCATGACGGTTTGAAGCACTGGGGTCAGTCCCCAGCAGTTCTGGGAAAGATTGGAAAAGAGAGAAAGGAAACCACAATCCTGACAGTACATGGGACCCTGTGGAGTAATTACACAGCAAAGGTCAGAACAGGGTGACAGCCTGCTCTGGGGATGCCTGAGGCTTCCTTGGTTTTGCTTTCTGAGCAATTTCCTGAGAAGATACCAAAACTAAACCAAATCTGCTCCTGTGAGTCTATTTTGACATCACGTAGGAGCTCATTGGAAATACAAACCCTCAATCCCCCTTAGACTTATCAAATCAGCATCTGCATATGAGCAAGATCAACAAGTAGTCTAGAAGATACACATTGAAATTTGAGAAGCAGGGGGGCTTGATGATCTCCAAAGTCACTTTGATTATTAATAGCCCATGTTTCCATGGTCCTAGGAGGGAGGATGACAAGCATCCTTTTGCATTTCAGGGAGGATAAATGGACCCTGGGACCCACACACTCTCAGGACTAAGGCGTTCTCTTCAGAAGAGTCCCACTGGGGCCACCCAAGGAAGGTAGTTCTGGGTGGAGCCTGGCGGTGAGGATCCTGGAAGCTGGGGCAGGGGCAGGAGAGGGTCTCTGAGCCCGCAGATGGAGGGCTGATAAAGAGCATCAGTGATGGGAATGGGCACTGTTCGGGGTTACCCAAAATGCGGGCCAGACACACCCTTGGAACACCAGGAAATCAGGCCCCCTCAAAACAATGAGACAGTGAGAGCTTTGCGTCGTTCTGAAAAGTAAAATATTTTATGGTATAAAACAAACAAAAACAAATGAGCTGCTATGAAGTCAAATCAGACTCGTGGCAAGTCCAAGTGTGTCAGAGTGGAACTACATTCATACAGTTTTCAAGGCTTTTGGAAGTAGATTGCCAAGCCTTCCTTTCAAGGGACTCCAACCTCCAACCTTTTGGTTGGCAGTGGACGGTTTAACTGTTTACACCACCCAGGGACCCCAATATATATAGTTGTTGTTGTTAGTTGCTGTTGAGTCCATTCCAACCCATTTGTTGTTGTTGTTGTTATTTGCCGTCGAGTCGGCCCCGACTCATAGCGACCCCTCCTTGGGTTTCCGAGGCAGTATCACTACAGAAGTAGGATTGCCCAACCTTCTTTCCGAGGAGTGGCTGGTGGGTTTGAACCGCCAGCCTTCTGGTTAGCAGTCAAGTGCCTTAGGCACTATGCGACCAGCAACCTCATATACAACGGAACAGAACAGAACACTGCCCGGTCCTGTGCCATCCTCCCAACCACCACCATGCTTGAGCCGATTGTTGCAGCCACTGTGTCAATCCATCTCATTGATGCACTTCCCCTTTTTTGCTGACCTTTCTACTTTATAAAGCATGATATGCTTCTCCAGGGACTGGTCCCTTCTGACAACATGACCAAAGTATGAGAGACAAAGTCTCCATTCTCACTTCTAAGGAGAATTTGGTCTATACTTCATCCAAAACAGATTTGTTTGTTCTTCTGGCAGTCCATGGTATATTCAATATTCTTCGCCAGCATCACAATTCAAAGGCATCAGTTCTTGGTTTGTCTTCCTTAGTTACTGGCCAGCTTTCACATGCATAGGAAACGGTTAAAAATACCATGGCTTGGATTGGGTGCATCTTAGTCTTCAAAGTGACATCTTTGGTCTTAAACACCTGAAAGAGTTGTTTTGCAGCAGATTTGCCCAATGCAATATTTCATTTGATTTCTTGACTGCTGCTCCCATGGGTGTTGATTGTGGATCCAAATAAAATGGAATCCTTGATAACTTCAATCTTTTCTCCTTTTATCATGATGTTATTTATGGTTCAATTGTGGGGATTTTTTATTTCTTTATGTTGAGACATAACCCATACTGAAGTCTGTAGTCTTTAATCATCATCAGTAAGTGCATCAAGTCTTCTTCACTTTCAGCAAAGTTGTATCATTTGCATATCACAAGTTTTTAATGAAACTTCCTCCAATCCTGATGCTGCATTCTTCTTAATATAGTCTAGTTTTTCAAATGATTTGCTCAGCATAAAAATAGAATAAGTATGGTGAAAGGATACAATCCTGACAGACACCCTTCCTGATTTTAAACCACGTAGTATCTCCTTGTTGTGTTTAAATGACTGCCTCTTGGTCTACGTACAAGTTCCTCATAAATACAATTAAGTGTTCTGGATCTCCCATTCTTCACAATGTTATTAACAATTTATGATCCACACAGTCAAATGCCTTTGCATAGTCAATGAAACAGAAGTAAACATCTTTCTGGTATTCTTTGCTGTCAGCCAAGATCTATCTGACATCAGCAATGACATTCCTTGTTCTGCGTCTCCTGAAACTAGCTTGAATTTCTGACAGTTTCCTATCAATGTACTGCTACAACCATTTCTGAATTATATTTGAATTACTGTGTGTGGTACTACTGATATTGTTCAATACTTTCTGCATTCTGTGGGATCACCTTTCTTTGGAATGGGCACAAACATGAATCTCTTCCAGTCAGTTGGCCAGGCAGCTTTCTTCCAATATATATATATTACTTTTTCCGTTTTAACAGATCATGACAAAATTTCTTTGCAAAGTATTTTTTTAAAAAAACATATCATCAAAGTCTCTTTTTCCTCTAAAAAGGATAGCAGTAATGATGGCACAATATGAAAAATGTCATCAACGTCCCTGAGCTGTAAATGTGGAAGTCATTATGTTGGTGAATGTCTTGCTGTGTATGTTTTCACCACAAGTGAGGGAAAAAAAATCTCTTTCTCCTCTAAGAATTTGAACTTGTGTGGGTTTCATACAGCAGAGCTTATGAAAGAAGATGTGACATGTGACTTGTTGGATGACTTTGTGTTACATAGTCATTGTGAGAGGGTTAAGGTAATTCTCCAGATGATGCAAATAGACAAGCTACACAAGTTCCTGGGGAAACAGGCAGTTTGGGGCAGAGGATAACAAATAGTGTTGCTATGGAGCCTTCCCTTCCAGTTCCATGCATACCACACCACCACTCCCCCATCCTCCCTCACACCCACCACCCTCACCTCTTCTCTTCTTATCACCTGGTAGCTAGTGCCTAAAGCACTTGACTGCTAACCGAAGGCTGATGAGTCAAACCCACCAGCCACTCCTTGGAAGGAAGGTTGGGCTTTCTACTTCCTTAGTGATACTGCCTCGGAAACCCAAGGAGGGGTCGCTATGAGTCGGGGAGGACGGCACCTAACAACAACAACAGTGTCCGAAAAGTTGAAAGTTAGACTTGTAAAACCTCCAGGATGGCCAAGAGCTCTTCTCTTAGTGCTGCATGTCTCATGTAAAACAAGTGAAGTAAGTGGTCTAATTCGCTGTGTGGGTGGGTGGGGTGCCAACATTTGACCTTCACAAGCTACTTAGTACTTTGCAACCACTTAGGAGGGGTCAGGAAGACCTGACTATAATATAAGTAAACCAACATTAAAGTATGTTTTTTTTAGAAAGTGGTGGAATCAGATCCTTATGGCATTTTGAAGCATTGTTAATTCCAAGAATTTTTCTCTCTGTTCAAGTCATTCTCTGTATAACTCTTTTTTTTTTTTTTGTCCAACCATCACCACTATTTGTATCCAAAAAACTTTTTCATCATCCCAAACAGAAAATCTGTACCACTTAGCAAGAAAACCTTGCTCCCCTTAACCTGGACCTTTTATAAAGACATCCTTAGAAATGGTCAACTTGGATTAGCTTGATGTACACAAAACAAGTGGGAGGTCATAGCCCTAAGATTATGGGGAAGTTGGACGTGAAGTCAAGTTTATGTGATTATCTTCAAATTTATATTAGCAAACAAAACAGCTATCATACCTATTCCTTTGCAGGCTTTGTTCAGCCTTTTGGCATCTCGGTCTGCGTTAAAGCCCTGATGACTTCTTGCTTTGGCCTAGAGAAAATAATTGAAAAGGTGAGTGCACAATATTTGTTACTGCTTTGTTAGGTGCTGTTAAATCGACTCCAAATCGTGGTGACCTTATGTACAACAGAACAAAACATCACCCAATCCTGAACCACCCTCACCATTGCCAGCATGTTCCGATGCATTGTTACGGCTGATGTGCCAATCCATCTCACCAAGGATCTCCCGTGGCCGCACCGGCCCCTTCCGGGACAAGCTATTTTCATAGCAAGCAAACTTTTGTGTGTCTCTCTCCAGAACAAAGACTGCAGCAGACCAATATCTTGAAGTGCTGGCTATACACAAGTGTATCTAGGGACTTGGTTTGCCCACCGGAAGTTGAGGGTTCTAAGATCTTTCTACAGATCCATTTGGTGGCCTGGGCTGAAACTTTGCCCTCCATTCAATTAGAGAAATAATATTTAGTTGTCAGAGATAAATAAATAATATTTCATTTAATATAGAAAAAATATTTAGTTATCATCTACACTAACAAGAGCACGGTGTTTGTCTTTCTCTCCTTGGGGACAGAAAACTCCTATTTATAACCTAAGTGAATGTTTCCTAGACTTCAGTCATCAGCGTGCTCCAGCAGCAAATTAGTCCACAGCTACCTCTGTCTGTATTGTTATTCTTCACTTATTATTTTCCTTTCAAGAAACCCTGGCGCTGCACTCATTAAAGCGCACAGCTGCAGACTGCAAGGTCAGCGGTTTGAACCCACTAGCTGCTCTTATGGGAGAAGGATATGGCAGTCTACTGCTATAAAGATTACAGCCTTGGAAATCATTTGGGGCAGTTCTACTCTGTCCTATAGGATTGCTATGAGTTGAAATAAACTCAACACCAATGGGTTTTTTTTGTTGTTGTTTTTATTTTTCTTTCAACAGACCTACTTATTTTTCCATAAATGAAGTTGTTTTAAAGAGAAAACTTGATGAGCACTAAAGTGGAAAGCCAGTATCACTGATATATATATAAACTAACCATAAAACAAATGCATCAGTATTAAAACATCTTAGATGTGAGGTTAATTACAGTTAAGCAGCTAGTAGCTCCTTGAACACCCTCTGTGTTTGCCTTCCCTCATGGAGATTCTTTTTGGTGACATGTGTTCACTTATTCCCAACCCTCAGAGAAGGCAGATTTCAGTGCTATGGCTCACACCCTGGCATTTCATTTCCTTTGGCTCCCATTGGGAAGGTACAGTGAACCACTTGAGGCACAGTGAACACACTGTGTTTCTCTCGTTTCCCTATTTCCCTTGGGTGTTCTCCCCTTCCCCCACTTCACATGGTCTTTCACTGGGCCGTCTGCCACAGGCTTGAGCCCCACCATCCTGCCTTTTGTTCCCTGTTTGGGTATATACCTTGTCACTCTGGCAACTGGTTTAGGAGTCAGGAACTCAGCAGGCTCAATTAGAGTTTTTTCCTTGATTGATGTATAGATATCAAGAGAGAAGCATGTCTTTCCCTACTGGATTTGCTGAGCTGAGAAAGTGTGATGAGAGCGACTCTAGGGCTGTTGGTGACCATCTGGCCCACTATATTAAAGAGAGTATGATTTCAAAATGAAGCAAAGAAGAGATAAGAAGAGTGAAAATGCTGGGAATGAGGAGGGAGGTGGATGGAGAGGAAGAATGAATAGCATTACTTAAATCTGTAGATACAAGAGTGCCTGGAACTAGCTCTATTCTTGGCCTTCCCAGTTACGTAATAAGAAACTGCCACATTACCAAAGCTGGTATGAGTTGAGTTTCTGCCCTTGCAACCAAACGTATCCTAACTCATATCCGTGGACTGGAGGAGATCTGGCTTCTGTTGTTGTTTCTCTTTTGTGCCATCAAGTTGATTGTGACTCTTGGGACCCTATAGGACAGAGTAAAACCATCCCATAGGGTTTTCCAGGCTGTAATCTTTACGGAAGCAGATCACCAGGTCTCCTCTGCCAAGGAGACACTAGTGGGTTCCAACTGCCAGCCTTTTGGTTAGGCACTGGGGACTTAACCCTTGTGCTACCAGGGCTCCTGGGTCTGGATTCCAGACTTTGAATTATGTAGAATCATGGGATCCTAGAGCCAAGGGGATCTTCAGGGCCACCTGTCACCCTATTGCTCTTTGCAATGTGAATGTGTGGCCCATTTTGAAGCATTTATTCCTAAAACACACCAGTAGGACCCAGGGGGTGGGGAGTAGAGATAGACATTGGTAGAACACCTACATGTGCCAGGTAGCTTACAGACCTTTCTTCACTATTAATAGGGAGTCCACATTATTATTCTTACTTCACAGACAAGGAAACCTGGCGTCAGGTGGGTTAGGGAATCTGTCTGAGATTTTGCTGATGTTGGGCTGCACCCAGCTCTATTTGTTCCTAAAATTCACCTTCTGTCGGGCCTCACGCTCTGTTTGACCGAGGTATTCATGTTTGGGCACAGGGGTGACATACCACATTGTCCTTATCCAGATCTTTCATGAAGAGTAAGAAAACAACTGGTTGCTTCTGATAAAATCCCACTAGGTAACAAATGGAAGTTTATTGACAGAACCAACTACTGAATTTGCAAGGCTCAGTGCAAAATGCAAGTGTGGGCTCCTCCTTAAAACACCATTAAGGATCTCAAGATGGTGACATTGGAGCGTAAACCAAGAGCAGGGTCCTTCTGAGTGTTGTGTCCTGTACGACTACCAAAATCACACGCCCATGAAGCCAACCTTGTTTTTGGTCAAAATCTAGAAGAAGTGGTCTCGGAGCATGGAAGGGTAAGGAAGTTGAGATCCCAAGGGAGTGTCTTTGCTTTATATCAGCTGGGTCTGTGGAGGACTCTGGGCGTGAAGTGGAATTCAGCCAGGTCTCATCACGACAGAGAATTTGGTGGGACACCTATTACCTGTCCCGTTTCCTAACTAACCATCTGAAACAGAGACACGTGGCTGCTGTGAATGGCTGTGCAGACTGTGCCTCACCTGCAGGCAGCAGGGCTGGGGTCCAGCAGAAGCTGCACTTTGCCAACCCCTGGGCTGCAGAGCTGCCACCCCAAGGGGCATCTTTATCTCATTTACACAACAAAGTAGTGTGGACTTGTGGAGACTGCATGGAGATGTATTTAAGGTCACCTGGCCAGGTGGTGGCCGAATCAAAGATTAGAACTAGAACCAGACCTTCTGACTCTGTCAGGTGTGAATGGTGTTCCTGACCCCGTGGCCTTCCTATTTTAGTAAGGTCACTCCATGACCTTACTAAAAGGTCATGCAGAGCTACGGCGCTGAGAAGTCCCAATCAATAGGTTGGCAGTTTGAATCCACCCAGAGGTGCCTCAAAAGAGAGGCCTGAGGATCTACTTCTGAAAAACCGGCCACTGAAACCCTGTGGAGCCCATCTCTCCTCTGACCCACGTGCGGTCGCCATCAGGCAGTCAACTTGAGAACGACTAGTGGTTTGTAGGATCTGAGGGGGTGGGAAAAGAAATCTGTGACCATGTGCAGGTTGTTTATCTAAGGCCAAAAAGTGAGTAAAAGAATGCCATTTGGGATACCTGGGGGTGCAGTGGGAGAGTGTTGGACTGCATGACAGAAACAAAGATGAGGATCTTCATTTCCCTTTATTGCTTAACAAATAATTCCAGAACTTTACACCAGTGGCACAGCCATCAGCCGGGTAGGTGGACATCACAGTCCCGTGTGTGGCTTCCTGTGAGGACCCCTCTCAGCCACGTGGATTATCTTTCCTTCTCCTCTTGAGAAGAGCATTCAGTCTTCCCCCTTGGAAGTGCAGGATATTTGATGTCAAATTGAAGGGATCAGATGATGTGATTTGAAAAAAAGGAAGAAAGCAAACAGTCCATTTGGACGCTTTCCCCTTTGTGTGGCTGGTGCTCCGGACAATGGCCGTATTCATCAGGGATACCCGATGTTTGTGCAAGGAGCGCCCTATGGCTTATTCCAATAAAGAACTTCTCAGGAATGTATACAGATCCAACATTCCACACCCATTGTTCATTGTTTGTGTGGCAGGCAGCTGACTTTGGGGCCTCCGGCCTGTTGGCCAGTCAGGACTTTCAATGTTTGAAACCTGGAGCCCCTGAGCAAGGCTTTCAAACAAAGGCGGTCTGTGGGTATGTGAGTCAGGTCAAAATGGGGAGGAAGTGGACTCCAGACGGGTTCAGGGATGTCAGGAAGGTGGGATGAACATGCGTGTGTACACAGATGTCATGTTGTGAGTTGCCATTGAGTGGCTCCACCTCATGGTGAGCTCGTGTATAACAGAAAGAAATGCTGTCCAGGCCTGTGCCACCTTCCTGATCATTGCTGTCATCATTCTTGTGACACCTGTGAGTTTGAGAGCTTTCTGACCTAAGGGCTCATCTTCCAGTACTGTATGGACAATGTTCTGTTGTACTCCATAAGTTTTCATTGGCTAATTTTCAGAAACAAATCTCCATGCCTTTCTTCCTAGTCTGTCTTAGTCCGGAAGCTCTGTTGAAGCCTGCCCACCATGGGTGACCCTGCTAGGATTTGAAATACTGGTAGCAGAGCTTCCAGAATCACAGCAACACGCAAACCACCATCATACAACAAACCGACAGACAGGTGGTGGGCATGAGTATTAAACTTATTTCTGCTAAATGCCTATAGAGGCAGAGCAACAGTGCTGGTTTTTTTAAACAGTGTTTACACTGACACTCAAGAAACACACAAAAAAATGGCCCATCGGAGATATTAGGAGATGTTAATAAAAAATGATTTCAGAGGTCTGGATTTTGAGCCTACCTGGACTTGGATTTGAATGCTAGTTCTGCTCCTTAGCACCCAACAGGAACTTGGGTCATTAACCTCTAAGCTCCCATTGACATCTAAGATACGCAAAATGGGGACAAAGTTTTGCAAGGTTTGAGGCTTATAGGAGGTAACATTTCAAGTGCTGAGTTTATAGAGGAGCTACATAAATGCTAGTCCCTCCACTGTTCTGTGAGGCACAACTTGTAATGG